AAATGCTCTTATTATCTTTCATTATTAGACTTCCGTCCTGAGAAAGCAACAACAAATTTAATTAATAAAGTGGATACCCCAAAATGAAAACTCGTGGTATCAGAGAACAGTGGCGACCTACCTCAAGTTCTCGAAGTATTTGCGTGCCTACTTCGTGCTTGATGTCTAACCGAATGGTCTTCTTGGCCATTATTATATTAGTTCTGTTGTAGCGCACGCGACTGACCACACCCCAATTGCCTGATCCTAGCTCGGAAATCTTGGTGAAGTCCTCTGGATGTAACTCATGGATGTCCTTCTTGCAGCGAAGAAACTCTTCAATGCGCTCTCGCTGGCTGTCATCCAATTGCTGATCGTCAAGCTGCCGTTGACTAAAAATGACATAAAACATAAAAGCGATGTAGCAACGTTGCGTTGAAATAGAAAAACCACAGAGACATCTGAGTACTTATCCATTCACTGTTTCCTAACATTCCTTGCATAAATCCCTAGTTGAGAATAGGAAAATTTACGCAGCAGCGAGATCAACGGGTCCGGTGCTCATGCGATCGTTAGGTTTGTTGGCACCACCGCGATCATTTCGGAGAACGGAAGAGTTATCAGTAGAGCCCTCAGCAGCACCGATGCTGGTGAGCGGTGGGAGACGGACGCGAGCAGGCTTTGATGAGGTATTTGCGTTGATGTTGGAGGAGGCGGAAATATGGTGGGTGGGGGGATCGTCCAGTCGTAGGGGCGTAAGGTCAAGGTTCTGGATGACTACCTGACGTTTCCCAGCAAATCGCAACCCTGAGGTTTGTGACTGCGGTCCTGCAGGTGGCCTTGATGGGTCTGCACTGCTCTCCAGGTGATCTCCACTATCACAGCCCCCTCCCACCGGCTTGCTGTCCGTCAGACCCGACATTTCAATCTGTCAGTAAGGACAAAACCGTAAATTTTGGATATATTGAGGGAACATTTAAAAACAAGGTTTCATTTACTATCTTAGTCGAACATCATTAGCACAAACACGAATAAAAGACTGCGTGAAAACAGGATCTACGTCAGTCGTCTTTGCCAAACAACTGCACAAAAGTAAGTTGAATATGCAAGTGAGCTGGAAAGCAAGACTTCACCATTTCCTTTGAAGTGCGGACACGCAGGCATTCCAAAGCGTTACCTTAACCTTAAGTTAAGTTCAAGCCAATAAACAATGAAGACCAAAGTAGGTTTTATTGGATGAAT